TATGGAAAGTCAGCAAGCCAGTCCTGGGTGCATTCTCCTCAATTGTGATTCCCAGCAACTAGTATACAGAGTCTTACTGCCTCCAGCAGTGGTGGTAGAACGTTATCCTCATGGTTAGTAGCCACTGAGAGGTCCTTTTCTATTTCTTTGCAAGCTCTTTTTATTTTAATCACCCTGAACAATTGGGTTGGGCATGTGTCTGCGGGTTTTTCAAAAGCACTCTTGTAACATTTGCAGTTGGCCAGTAGAGGCCCCCACACACTTCACAAAGTTATTAAACATATGAAGCCAATTAATGTATCAAATTAAAGAAGGAAATATGTGACAAGCTCTAAGGGGTGGCTATCCAGTCTGGAAACTTCACATCCAACAATTTCCTATGAGAAAGCTACTTCTGTGCATCAAGCTCCTAAGTACCTGAACAAGTATGACAAGCATAAACCTTATGCATTTGAGTGGAAAGCTGAAAGCTTTCCAGTCACATGGCAAAATAGACAAGTGTGTACTCAGAACATATCCTAGCGTACATGTGGTGTACGCAGGCTTTGGTACCAGGTTTTTGCTGTGACATTTCAGTAGCCGCTGCTTAGGATTTACTTGTTTTTCTTCTGCCCTCAACTCACCTTCAAACACACGCAGAAATAATTAAATGAGTTAAAATTGGTCCTCGGAGGATAGCAGCCAGATCCAGTTCCAGCTATATAGGGCCTAGTAATGAATGTTTCTCATTTTCCTCATGTTTCCAGTCTTAAGTTCCATTTCCCACATTTCCACAGCAGTTTAAGAGGATTATTTGTCACACACAAAAATCTCATGGAAAAGTATCAGCATTTTAGTGTGAATTTCCCCTAATGTATTCATGTTTACAAAAAATGCATTTTGTCAGAAGAAAGTATGCATTAAAATAAATATATTAGTGAAAAGAAGACATAAAATGCCTCAGATTTGGTGAAATTGCTGGGAAAAATATGTACATCAGTCAAAAGTGCATACAAATATATCAGGATAGATTTGCACTAGAAGGTGGATGAATTTTCATGAGGTCTTTAAAAAAAGGCAAATTCCTGAATAAATGTGAAGAACTGAATTTAAGACTGGAAAAATGGGAAACTGAAAGAACCAAAATTAACAGACCTTTCCACCCCTACCCATCCCTAGTCAAGCCAGGGGAAGTCACCCAGCAAAGAAAGGCTAGGTGATATTAAGCAATGAGCCCCATGGCCATTCAGACTGCAGTGCAAGACTACTAGAAAAGCATTTTGAGTCACATTTTACCACATAATGTGTGTTCTGCCCTTTGGTTGTTCTTTTTTTTTTGCCCTGCAGTTCCACTGAGTCAGGGCTCAGTGAGGTCCTGCACCCTGAATGTCCACTCAGCTTCAAGTTCCATAGGTGCTTTGAGCTCAGATGGTCTAATGCAGGCTTCCTCAAACTCGGCCCTCCAGATATTTTGAGACTACAATTCCCATCATCCCTGACCACTGGTCCTGCTACCTAAGGATCATGGGAGTTGTAGGTCAAAAACATCTGGAGGGCTGAGTTTGAGGAAGCCTGGTGTAGTGCAACCTTCTCTAACCTAGATGACATTGGACTACAACTCCCACTATCTCTGACTATTGGCCATGCTGTCTGGGGCTGATGGGAGTTGTAGTCCAAAACTTCTAGAGGACAGCAGCTGGCAGAACTTGAAGGTTGCACTAGTGGCTATTTGTTTCCTGGCATTTAATTCAGCAGTCAGGAGTTTGCAACCTAGGTACAAAGTGAGTCCAATGACAGGTTTGGGGGACTTTGTCCCTCTAGATGGGCACATGTGCTCACTCCCAGACCTTGATCTTCCCTGAGTTGCTTGAGGGAAGCCAGCATGTGGCTTCTGCAATATTTGTAGTGACTTCAGCATATCAGCAGTTAGTATGAGAACTGTGCACTTGACCCTGAGCACGAAACAAGCCAGTGTGATTGTAGATACTACAAAGTGGCATTAAATGTATGGCAGACAATCACCATCAACAACTATACTTGGAAAATCCTTAAACAACAACAACAACAACAACAACCCCAAATTGTTAGTTTTCATCCCAAGATTTGTCAATCTTGTTTCTCACCTGCTGCTCTCCTTTCAAAAGTGGATGGAAAAGAAAGGGTAATGCTGTTGCCAGAATTGTGAGGGGGAAAAGCACCTATCATTCATTCAGTCATGACATTTCCCCCCGTTGAGGATGATTGGCAAATGTTGGCACTTTCAAGTAGTTTACATCAAACAGACGATGAATGCGAAAGATGTACGATAAATAGGGCTGCTGTGAAATTTAATGGCTGTTTTTGAAGCTTCCATGTATTTTTTTTTAATTGAAAAAAGGTCACCCATTGTCCTAGTGCACATGATTGATGTAAGCACTGGTATTTTTATGTAGTATATCCACAAAAGGTGCTTTGTAAGTGATGGTTTGTTCATCACTTCAGACCCTACCAAGGTCTCAAACTCCACATGAATCTTGATGTGTTGTTGTCTAGAAAAAGGGTCCAACCCCCCGCCCCAAGCAGGCTTGTGTAGGCTGCCCTACTGGGAGATTGCTTAAACCTTGAGGCCTAAAGTACACTCCTTACCCACTTCAGGACAATTTTCCCCAGCAGGATTGCTGGAATTCATGATCTGCACCATCAGAGTACAAAGCAAATTGCTAAATCCATGCAACAATTCGTTACAAGCACTCACTGAATGTTAAACAGGTTTTTAAAAATCATTATGTTCTTGAAGACGCAGCAGCTTAATGGCATTGATGTAAATTGAAGGCACTGACTTATTCTTATTTCCCCACTTTCTTTGCTAGAATTGAGTGGAGAGGGGAGGGAATAACTATGTGTAGGTGCTGTTCCATAGAAAAGAAAATCAGTCAGTGCACTCCTGAAAGAACCATATTAGCCCAGGTCTGCCTATCATGAAGTGTAATGTGGCCACAGGCAAAGGAGGAGAGTTCCTGTATCTTTAACAGTCACTGTTGCCTTATAAACCCTATCAACCCTATCAACATTCTCCTTGTTCCCAGTCACCAACCCTCACAGAATACCAGCAACATATTGCAACTAGCTGGACTCTCATCAGTCTCAACCCCCCCACCCCCATCATAGGTTGTTATGCATTGTGTTGACTTCAAAGTTGGGCAAGATGACTTCAGCCATCGTAAAAGACTTAACTACCTCCTTGCCGCTGTTGCTTTCCCTCACTTGTTGCTGTACCTCTTGAGCAGAGCAAGGGAAAGCAAGCGAGCTACTCTAACATTGCTGCTGCTGCCCAGTCATTTCCCTGGCCTCTTTCTCAGTTCTTTTAGCACTGATGAAGCACCTGGTTGGTGTAATACCTTGCTGATGTATGAACACAATGCAACTCAGGCCTTATATGTCAAAGATATCCAATGTAACCACAGATATTGTTAGACCACAGCTCCCATTTGCCCCAGTCAACATGGCTAATGATTGGGGATTATGGAAGTTGCAATCCAATGACATTGGGCATATCATGATGGTTATGTCCCTGCATTCTTTGAATAGTGGAAAAAATCACTTTCTAAACATTAAGGCTGTGCACACACTATCCCTTTAAAGCATATTTGAAGCACATTCTTTGCCTCAGAGAATTCTGGGCACTGTAGTTTGTAACTCTGTGAGGTGTAAACTACAGTGCCCAGAAATATTTGAGGGAAAGAATGTGCTTCAAATATGTTTTAAAAGTATAGTGCGTATGCAGCCTATGAGATTCTTCAGAATCATGAGCAGCTGATTCTTCCATGCCACATTGTGCTTAGGCTTTGTTCAGGACCATATTTTGGGACAGATCAGGCAAAGTAAAGGACAGGTTGGGGTGGGGATTGCAGGGGCACACACAGTCTCTCATCACACCAAATCCTCCTCACCTTGGTTCCCTGCACTTGGCCTCCTGCCTCCCTCACTAGCCTGGCCTGCTCTTTCCCTTGACTCATGTAGACGGGTAGACGCCAGGGGTTGATGGTAGGCTCCCATGGATGACTTGAGCCGCAGCTCCAGCCTCTGCTCCATGCTGGTGTTGGAAGACACTTAAGTGCATAGGAGGAGGAGAGGTCAGGTTGTGTGGCAGAGGGGGCCAAGCGGTGGCAGACCTAAACCATGCTAGACCAGTGGGTGGTGGCTGAGGAAGAGCACCAGCAAGAGGGAAGGAAGGAGGGAGGAGAGAGGAAAAGGAAGTTGCTTCTTCCCCCTTCTCTTTATTGTCACTTGTGCCGGGCCGGGCTCCTCATCAGCGGTACCAAGCGCGAAGCAACCACCATTTTGGGTCACCCAAGCTCGAATATGGGGGGAAAGGTGTCCCGTTTGAAGTCCAGACAGGACAAGGGCTGGCAACCCACCTTTGACCAAACTAGAAGATGCAAATGCATTTTCACAGATAGAAAACAGACACAGCATTTAATATTCTTCATACCCATAGTATCACTTGTGAATGGTGTAAGATGGAAGAAGATAGCAAAACCAAATGTATGTGTTAGCCAGTATAAGCTGCACATTTCCATTACAGACTGATTTAAGCCAAAGCTGATTTCAGCTTCACACAATATACCTTCAAGGGGCCTAACCTGATTTAAGTACTAGTATCCCAGTTTAAGTGGCTTAAACAGATGAAATTATGATGATTAGTGCCAATCAGCATGATAAAGAAGTGGGTTATTTGCCCACTTTCAAGTGGTTTTCAATCTTAATTCTTGAAAAGGTGCCTTCTGTTTAAAGCCCATTTGAATTCAGGATGCACAGACACATGATGAATGCAACTGTACCTAAACCTCCATTTACATTACTCAGCAATTTATTACTGACTCATA